TCAAAAGTCAGCTTCAAAACAAAGCCAGTAGCTGACGAAGGATGGAGTGCTGTACACAAAACATAAAGACCGTTAGCTGGGTAACTATTGGACCTCACGGCCTAAGCCTTTGAACCACATACAAATTAGTTTGAATGCAACAGATGGGGAACGCCTGAAATTCTCAGGCAAATAAAATAAGCAGTTTCTCTGTCACCCCTCTAATTTTCTTTCTAATCCAAAACTGACTTATTGGGAAATTCCTACATTCTACCAAATATACACAATCTTGTAATTTTAGAGAATTTACAAGACTGGTTTTCGTATTGCCACATAGCATTTCAGCAGTTTGCTGGAAATGTTTGAATCTGCAATGATTACATACGCTTGTGCACACACAAGAGTCCTAGCCAGGGAGCCAAAAAGGGACTCCGGTTTTAATTTTTTTAATGGATTGGCTGGGCAATGGCAACAAAATTAACTCCTTCTTATCACCTTTTTTTCCTGAGGACATGACATCAGTTAACACATAAACTCTTTCAATAAGGTTACTAGCAAGTAAATTACTGAAAAAAAAAAAAAGTCAAAGAAAAAAGAAAATGTTTATGTAGAAATATTTTACATCATTTGGAGACATTCAAATTCAGTTGAAATTAATGGACCACATTCTGAAACTAATGTTTTATTGAGCTGAAGGAGTGTCACAAAGAATAGAGGTTCTCTTTCACAACAAATCTACAAGGTAGTTATTATTCCCATTTCACACAATAGGAAACCAAGGCTCTAAGAAGGGAGAGGTTGCCTTTCTGCCTTTCCAGGGTCTCACACCTAGTAAGGGGCTCAGCAGGGAGTTACTCAAACTTACAGCTGTCAGGTTCCAAATCTGCCTTCCCTCAGCTCTGCCATGATGCTTCCCAATGATTAGGGATGAAGTAGGGAAACACAACTGACAGCCGTCGTCAAGTTCTGATTTCAGATTACAGCCTCTAATTGTTACAGATATTGATCTACCATATTACCTTTTGTCTAACTTTTTAATTTTAAAGGATGTGTTGAGAACATTGATCTACCACAATACCAAGTCTAACTTTTTAATTTTAAAGGATGTGTTGCTCAGAACTAATTATTAGCCAAATTGAGTCCAAATTTTGAAATCTCCAATAAGATATATAAATTGATGAAGTATCCTCTCTCATGAATATACCTCTTTTATTTTTCATTATTTCCATATTATTAACACTGTCACATTCTCAGGGCCTTTTTAAGGGTTTACACAGGGCAGAGAGCTCATTTTATTTAATCAGGGGAGGCTAAATATGTATTTTTTTCTTGTTCCTCCACTTTTTTCTAGGCATGTATCAATATAATTTCCTTTCCACAAATAATGAAACAATTTTTGCTTTTTTTTTTTTTTTTTTCTGCTTGATTGTAGGCTTCCCTTCCATTTCCTTTCGTCACTGTTCTCAGTTTCTTGGACTATTCTCTGCCAGTAGCTTTCCTCCCCTTATTAGCCACCTTTCCACTTACTTTTCTTCCTGCCATTCAGCTTTCCAAAGATCTGGGGTCTTCAGAGCCACCTGTGACGCTGTGACAGCCAACAGTTCTCTGACAAAAAAACCCAGTGCAGCCATGACCTTAAACTGGTCTTCTGGGATATCTTCACTGACAGGCTGGCATTAGCAGACCCAAGCCCGGTAAGTGACAGGGTTCTCAGCAACTCTCATTTATAAGAACAAAATAGAAATAACACGAGTTACTAAACTCACCCTCGATGTAAAATCCCCAGCTGTTTCTCCATATGTGTTTCCAAGTAAATTATTTCAAAATCAATAATGTAATAAGCGATCTATGCATCTCCAGCCAGGTCTTTAGGATCATTCTTACTGCTATGGCTGTGCCCCAGAGATTCACAATGAACAAAACCATCCAAAGTGGATGATAAACCAACTTCCCCTAGACAGCTCCAAGATCACCAGCGTTCTTATGCTTTCCTTCAAGCTTCCTTAAAATAAAGGCTATAATTAAAGAAGTTCTATGAGGTCAAAGACTGGGAATGTTTTGTTTGGAAGATGTATTAACAGTACTTTGCATAATACTTGCCACAATCTAGAGCCACAAATATTTCAAATATTTTTTTTACTAATTGCATGGAGTAAACAGGACCTTGATGTTCCTACTTAAGAAAGTAACCTACTTTCTTCAAAGTTTTAAAACTTATAAATGCCTGCTTTTCTTTGATATGCCTTTAGAAGAGTTCATCAAAAGCTTGAAAAATATGTCTTCATAGATTGTAAAACCCAGGAGAGATCCCGGGAATCCTAAGTGTCACTCCCTACGGGCCAGAGGGCTCCTAGAGTGTAAAGGAGCTGCACACGGATAGATAAGGAGTTAGTTGTCCAAGGTCCAGTGAATGAGAACCAGGTCTCCTGAATTCCGGAATTGTTTCAATTTCACCAATTCAGCTTACTTTTATCATTAAAACGGAGTCAAGTATAATATTTATAGCCAACATCAATGCATCTAACAATGACTATCAAAGTGCCAAAAACCTGAGTTTGCCTCGTCCAGTGATCTAACAGCTAGCTTAATCACTCGGCCATATCCTTGCGTTTATTAAATTCATTCCCTACTTGCAAATTATTCTGAATAAAGAACCAATCTGCAGCGACTGAGACAACACTCCATGGTGAGGCCATGAAGAAGGCAGAAACTTCCACAGCAGAGATAGTTTCTCCCGAGGTACACTTGTGACGCAATGGAAAAAAGGTTCCCAACACAAAACAGCCGGAAAGTCCCACCTAAGAACGCTCTGCTTATAACTTACTAAATTACTGATTTCAAAAGTAGTCACTTGGCACTAAGGAAAGAGAATGGAGAAGGCATCATTTGAACCCCCAAGTGTTTTCAGAGAAATTTAGAAGGCTGACAATATAAGAAAATGAATCTACAGAAACTTCTTGAAGCAGAGTTCTAGACTGCCAAAAAAAAAAAGAGGGGAGGGGTGGGTGGAGACTACAGATAAGTCACTGCTTTGAAATAAAATCTTTCCGTTGTATTTGTGTTACCAAGTCTATAGGTGATACGGTTAACCAAGGAAAATTTGCTCCTCTGTGCCTTACGATGTTGAAAATATTTATACTACACTCACCTGTATGCTGTCAGCATAATAGTCTGTTTTCAAAACAGAAAATAACTGCGGCACGGGAAGCAGGTAGAGCTGTTACCTACACTCGATCACTGCAATGATTTTCAAATTTCTTACCCTGAAAACTATTATCTGGGCACATGCTACGTATCCATGAAAAAGCTAGCGTCATCCAAATTTGACTTATAAAGGTAAAAATCCGAAGCCATTCCTTCCCTCCCTTTTATTCTGGCAGTAAATACTTGAGTTCAGGTTATTTTATGTACCTCTCACCTAAGTGGTTGGGAAGAGCCTTCAGTTAAATCGGCATTACCCGAGGCACTGCCATGACTTTGTAGAGATTTGCAAATTCTGATGTGAAGGCAAAAAGAAAACTCCAAGATTATAAAAACGTCCCCCCAAAACCAGTCATCCCCTTCAGGAACATCACTGTGTCAGATATGAATCTGTTGTACTGACCAAACACCACACTGCACAAATGGTGCGTTAGATACTAACACAAAACTACAGACCTGCAGGATTACCAGCTTTCTTTTAGAGAGGCTTAGAAATTCAACAATTTGCAACATCCAATAGTCCCTAAGATCTAAGTCTTGGGAAATACGTGCGGTGAAGAACAGCAAACAGTAGCCAACCCATTGAGTTTTGTTTGTAGGTTATCACCGCAAGGCGTGGAAGAAAGGGACAATGAAGGGAAAACACACATGGAAAGGAAGACGACTAAAGAAAGAGCAGTTTCATTGCTCAGAGAAAGCAAAGGCCCTTCTTCACTAATGCCACGGCCACAGGGGTATCTGTAGGACCGCCGGGTGCTGATACCCTGTCCGTCCAGATCCCACTCCTTCCCAGGTGCCTCCTACTGCCAATGTCAGAGGACTTTCAAAAGTAACACTCTAGAGTACTCAAATAAGATCAATGTTCAGATTCCCTTCAGAAGCTTTGAGAAAAGGAAGAAGAGCCCCAGCCAGGGGTGCGAAGGTTCAAGTTCGGTCCGTGCGGAAGCGCCTGTACCGGAGCACGAAAGAGGCAGAGGAGCGCTGGAAAAACGTCTAGAACGTGGGTGAGTCTCCCGCACGCCCGGCGCCGCTGGTACGGACCTCCGGGGCGAGCCCGCGCTCCCAGGAGGCTGGGAAGGCATTTATTAAGGCAACAGATCAGTCTAAAGGGTCCGGTACCAGGGAGCCACGACAAAATGAGGGAGAACGCCCTGACTCCAGGGCAAGGCGGGGCACGGCAGGGAGCTCTAGGAAGCAGACACCAGGCTCCCCCGGGGACGGAAGGTGAGCTCAGGGAGTAAGAAAAAAGTAGGGGGGAAAGGGGGGGGGCGGCGGCGGGGGGAAGCGGCAGCGGGGTGTGGAGAAAACAAGAGGTCGTTAGGAGGCAACTCCGAAAAGCATCTGACAGCCAGTTCCTGAAAGTCTTGAGAAGAGGGATGCAGCCCAGAAGGCAGAGAGCCTGTGGAATTCGTATGTCAGAGGTCACGCCGGGCCCGAGAGAGTGTGGGAAAGCGGAGGAAGGGCGTCCTGGAAGGCGCAGGGGCTCCTGTGGGATCCTGGGGGGCAGCGCGGGAAGAGCGGGAAGGGGGGGCCGTACAACACGGGGCCTGGGAAAGTTTGGGGGAAGAACAGGTGGGTGTGATGGGGGCGCAGAGGTGCACAGCTCGGAGGGGGGCGCCCGGGCCACGCCCTCCCCACGTCAGCACCCGACACCCCAGCGCGAAGCCTCGCCCCCCCCCCCCGCGCGCGCTGGCGCCCCCAGCCGGCCGGGCGCAGGGGTCCGGGGCGGCCGGCTCGCCCCCCAGCGGCCGGGCTCGGCGCGCGCGCCCCCGCCCTGCCGGCGCCAACTTTCGCGACCCGGGTCTGCGCCCCCCGCTCACCGAGGGCGCCGTCAGGCGGCTGATGCTCTCGCCCAGCGAGTCCAGGTTGACCCGCCTCCGGCGCTGCGCCCTCCGGGCCGTGGCCGTGGCCGTGGCCGTGGCCGTGGCGGCGGCGGCGGCGGCGGAGGCGGCGGCGGCGGCCGGGGCCGGGGCGACGGCGGCGGCCGCGCGGGGCTCGGGCGGCCCGGGCGGGCTCCGGCTGCCGTTCCAGCAGAGCCGGGACAGGGGGCAGTCGCCCTCGTCCTCGGGGCTGGTCTCCAGGTAGTCGGAGCCCAGGGAGCTGAAGGACTCGGACGAGATCTTCCTCCGAGACATGCTGCGGGCGGCGCTGCGGCGGCGGCGGGGACGCGGGCGGCGGGACCGGCTGGCGGCGGCGTTAGGCGCCTCGGGGCCGCGGGGCCGGGCGGGCGTCCCCGGGGCCGCTCATGGCGGGAACTTGGGGCCCGGGAGCGGCGGCGACGCCGGGCTGCGCTGGGGGCCGCCGCCTCCGCCTGGCGCCGCGCCGCGCTCCCGCTCCCGCTCCCGCTCCCGCTCCCGCTCCCGGCTGGGCGAGCGCGGCCGCGGGCGGCGGGCGGCGGGGCTGCGGCCCTGAGCGGTCCGGGAGGCTGAGCTTCTGCCGCCCGCGCGCCGCTCGCGCCCCCTCTCCCCTGTCTCCGCCCGCCCCTCGCCGCCCGCCCCCCCCCCCCGTGCGCTCCCTCCGCCGGTATCACGTGTCGCCATCACACTCGGTGCGAGTCCCGGCCTCGCCCGTCGCCACGTTTCGGGAGCAACGAGGACACTTGGTCGCCGTCCTCTGTGCGCCCTCCCCGCTCCCAGCCTCCCCCCTCCCCCGAGGAGCGCGCGGCGGCCGGGACCCCCCCCCCCCGCAGGGCGCCCACGCCGAGCGCCCGCGGCCCTGGCCCGCGCGGAAGCCAGCCCGGAGCGGCGCGGGGCGCGGGGCACGTCCCCGGGGAGCCACCTCGGGGCAGCCTGCGGGGTCCAGAGCCGTCCTTTCCCTGCCTTCCTCCGACTTTATTTAAGTTCTAGGCGAAGGGGAGAGGCCGGTTGACGCGGCCCGCCCGCTCCCGAGGAGACGCTCTCACGGGGAGGGGGCCCCGCGTCCGCCGGGGCCGCTGGCGGGGCGGGGTGCTCGCCGGGCCGAGGCCGCGGGGGCTCGGGGCGCGCCCGGGGCCGGGAGGCCGCGAGCCCTGTTGCTCGGCGTCGGCGGGACCCGGCGCCCCGCGCGGGTGCTGGACAGCTCCGCGTCCACCTGCGGCCGCGCCGGGCGCCGCCGCCCCGCGCACCCCGCGACCTGCGACCCGGCCGGGGGCTCCGGCGAGCGAGCCCTGGCCCGCGGGCTCCCCGCTCTTTGCGCCCAGCGTGCGGTGTGTGTGCGCTGGGCACGCCGCTCGGAGAGCCGAGGGGGATGGGGAGGAAGGCCTCTGGAACCCCAGAAACAGGCCCGCCAGGGCGCGGGCGCGGCTGGGCTGCTTCGTGCGCAAGCCTCGGCGCCTGACCCCGCGGCGCCCCGCTTACTAGCTCCTGAAAAGCCTCGGACTTGTTCAGACACGAGGGGAAGGCATGGGAAGGAAGGGCAAATAGGAGTGTCACCGAGAGAGGGGGCCCGGGCTGTGCGTCCCCGCGCGGTAGAGCGGGTGAGCGGCGCCCCGCCTTCTCCGCTCCCCTGGGAAGGAAAGTTCGCGGCTGTAGCTCTAGCCGCTCAAGGATACGCATGCCAAAGCGCTTTGGGCGCTGCTTTTGTTTAAGACTGGTCCTTCCAAGGTGAAGGCAGATGAATTTGTGGGCTGTGTGTGTACTGAAACACACACACCCACACACAACAAAAAACCGGTGCTATACGCCCAATCCCAATTTGCTTTTAGCTGTAAACCTTCCCAGTTGTTTATGAGGACCCAGATAAATATAAATGCTCTCTGAAGTCTCCCTTTATATTTTGGAAAAATCCACTCAACTAATTCAGAGACATCCCTTATTCTCAGATTTTAAATAGACGTTAAAGTTTATTTTTTTTTTTTGAAGTGTGTGCTCTCACATGCTCTCCTTCAAAAATATATGTATTCTTTCCCAACCTGCTGATAAGTTGCTAACTGCATAGGTTCTCTTAGCACTGGAAGTTCAGGACTCTCTTGTAAAATAATAATAATAGGGGGCCTGAGTGGTTCAGTTGGTTAAGCCTCTGACTTTGGATTTCTGCTCAGGTCATGGTCTCAAGGTTGGTGAGTAGTGAGATCAAGCCCTGCAGTGGGCTGTGTGCTGACAGCTAGGAGCTTGCTTGGGATTCTCTCTCTCTTTCTCTCTCTCTCTGCCCTCCTGCCCATACGTGCTCTCTCTCCCCAAATAAATATAAATAAAAAGCTTTTTAAAAATTAAAATAATATGATTATAATTATAGTTATTATTCTATATGATTATATGTTATTATTACTATTTTTAATTTGTGTGGTGTAGCTACTGTTGATTTTCCTATTACTTCATTTAATCCTATGTGCATTTGTTTCCACTGGAATCGAGACACAAATTATACTTTTTGTCTTAAAGAATAGTCATCAGTTTTGCTGAGAAGTTTCTCTGGCCCTTGTTTTTTCCCCTGAAATACAACTGGATGTTGCCTTTGGAAAGTACATTATTCCAACTTTGGAGAAACTGTTTCATAATCTTGCTGTGCAGTATCCATCACAGCACAACTTGTGGTTCTTAATTCCTTAATACTAATGATGTAATAATGGTCCAGCTCTTCAGAGTCGAGGGATCTTAGAGCCTCCATGAGGATGCTAAATAGCATACACCCTTCATTCTTTTAAGGAAGTACTGCTCTGAGCGAGCGCACCCACCCACACAAGTTTTTCTATGGTAAGGGCAAATACCTGTGCACTGAACTCAAAACCAGAACTTTTACGAAACATTCCAACTCTTGTGTCAAAGTGAAAATGACTGGGTGCAAAGCAACGAGTATCATCTGTTTCTAAAATTCACAGGAGGCCTAAGAAGTCTTCCTGTTTACACTAGAAGTTTATTGCCAGAAAGAACTCTGAACCACTGGAACATTTCTGCTTTGTGTGAACCCTTTGAATCAAAGACTCTTTACAGAACCTAGCCAGATGAAGTGGTCTTAGAATTTTCTGTATAAATTACCCTGCCTTTCATCATGATTTTCCCACTGATCTTTAAACTATAAACAAATGGAGGCCTAAATATAGACAGTAGATCATCTCCATTACTTTCAACAGTTTCCTTTGTGTTTCTGTTCAGGAATAGGGTTCAAAAGCTCTCAGTAGGAAGAATGCTGTGTTCTATAGTTGAATTAACATTTTTAAAGGAAACATAACCTATTCTCAGAAAGAAAGTTAAGGTTTAGGCCTAGTATAAGGAACCCAAACACTTCAGAAAAGAGTAATCCGGTGAAAATGAAGAGTTTGTGCTCTGATTTTAAGACAAGAAACTTGCACAGACTCTGGCCCACAAACCCAGTCCTGCTGGGTATACTGTGCTTCAATAAATTCCTTAAAACATCGTTTCCCATTGGAAAAGGAAAATACGGGATTATACTTGGTTTGTTTATGAGGCTGGTGAGGGCACCTGAGGACTCATTTCAGATTGATCAAGCATTAGAAAGCACTCCTTAAGAAAGCAGTTTCTCCTGGTCAACTAATTTACCCCAGGGGAGCCAAGAATACCCAATGGGGAATGGACATTCAAATGGTATTGGGAAAACTAGACAGCCACACAGAAAAGAATGAAACTAGACCACTATCTTACACCATATGCAACAATTAACTCTAAACAGATTAGACATGAATATAAGACCTGAAACCATAAAAGTCTTCAAAGTAAACATAGGCAGTGAGCTTCTTGTCATGGATCTTAGCAAAGAATGTTTGGATATAACTCTAAAAGCAAGGATAACAAGACCAAAAACAAACAAGTGAGACTACATCAAACTAAAAACCTTTTGCGGAACAAGGAAAACCATCAAAAAGATGAAAAGGCAACCTACTAAATGGGAGGAAATATTTGTAAATCATGTATCTACTGAGGGATTAATAGCTAAAAACCAAAACAAAACAATCCAATTAAAAAGTGGGCAGAAGACCTACAGAAACATTTCCCCAAAGAAGACATCCAGATGGCCGACACAGGAAAAGATGCTCAACATCACTCATCATCGTGAAAATGCAAATCAAAACCATAGTGGGTTATCACCTCATACCTGCTATTATGTATGGCGATTAGCAAAGAAGGCAAAAAACAACAGGCGCTGGAGAGGATTTGGAGAAAGAGAAAGCTTGTAAGCTGTTGGTGGGAATGCAAAATAGTGCAGCCACTGTAGAAAACGGTACCAAGTTTCCTCAATAAAACCAGAAGTAGAATTACCCTATGGGTCAGCTAATCTACCTCTGGCTATTTATCCAATGAAAATAAAAATACTAATTTAAAAAGATACATACACCCCTACTTTCATTGCAGTGTTATTTACAATAGCGAAGGTACGGAAGCTACCCAAGTATCCACCAAAAGCTGAGTGGATAAAGAATATGTGATATAGATATAGAGAGATATAGATAGTTGGATACTACTCAGCCATAAAAAGTAGTGAAATCTTGCCATTTGCAACAACACGGATGGCCCTTGGGGATATTATGCTAAGTGAAATAATTCCAACAGAGAAAGAGAAATACTATATCATTTCACTTATATGTGAAATCTAAAACACAAAACAAAGGAAAAAAGAAACAAATCTCATAGATACAGAGGACAGATCAGAGGGGGAGGCAGGTGGGAATGGGTAAAATGGGTGAAGGGGGTCAATTGCACGGTGACGGATGGTAACTAGATGTATTGTGATGATCACTTTGTAATGTATACAAAACTCAAATTATTAGCTTGTACCCTTGAAACTAATATAATGTTCTATACTGATTGTACCTCAATTTAAAAAAGGAAGGAATGCTCCAAAATATTTTTTGAAAGCAAGCAGATTCTCCTCTTTAGTTAAGATAGTTTCCCCTTTAAACATAAAATTGTTGTGTATGTCTTACCTTCATAAACAACATCACTATTTATAAACTCCTTTCACTTACATTTTTTTATTTAATTTGATGTTCATCCTTCCTAGAGAGTAGTTTTTAAAAGTCACATTTGGGCTGTCTAGGTGGCTCAGTCCTTTAAGCATCTGACTTCAGCTAGATCATGATCTCACGGTTCGTGGGTTCGAGCCCCGTGTCGAGCTCTGTGCTGACATCTCAGAGCCTGGAGCCTGTTTCGGATTCTGTGTCTCCCTCTCTGCCCCTCTCCCACTTGTGTTCTCTCTCTCTCTCTCTCTCTCTCTCTCTCTCTCTTTCTCTCTCTTTCTCTCAAAATATGAATTTTT